CATTACTTTCTTTTTTTATATTATGTTATGTTAATCACCATACATTACATCGTTAGTTTTTGATGTAGTGTTCCATGATTCATTGTTTGTGTATAACACCCATTGCTCCATGCAGAACGTGCCCTCTTTAATACCGATCACCAGGCTAAACCATCCTCCTACCCCCCCTCCCCTCTAGAACCCTGAGTTTGTTTTTCAGAGTCCATAGTCTCTCATGGTTCGTCTCCCCCTCTGGTTTCCCCCCTTCATTCTTCCCCCATTACTTTCTAATGTGCAATTTATTGAATAGTTTCTCCTTTTCCCCCTGGTCTGCAATTCTCTTGCTATCATGAATCAAGTTTGCATATATGTGTGGGTCTGCTATGAACTCTATGTTCCTTCTTATTGGCCACCTTGTCTATGCCTGCCCCAATAATGCACTCTCTTAATTACTATTGTTTCATGACAAGTTTTCATATCTCATGGGATCAATTCCTCCACCTCATTCTTTTAGTGCTTTGCTCCTCTGTATAAATTTGAGAGTTTAATCAAACCCTCAAAAACTCCTGTTAGGATTTTGAATGGAATTGCAGTTAATCTATAAGTCAACTGGGGAAGAACTGGTATCTTTAAAATACTGTGTTTTTTAATACAATTTTATGTATATATTTTTTCTTGAAGGTTTTAAAATAAAATTTTATAACTTTTTTCATGATGAACTTTCACATATTTAGACCTTTCCTTAGATACTTTATATTTTGTTGCTATTGAAAATGGTATCTTTAAAAACCATTTCTAACTAAATGTGGCCAGTGAATAGAAAAGCAACTGGCTTCTTAATATTGGTTTAGTACCAAGCAAGGTTGCTACATGATCCTGTGTTTTCTATTTGTAAAGATAGAGAATTGTATCATTTGCAAATAATGTAGAGAGTTGTATCATTTGCAAATAATGACAGATTTGTTTCTTCCTTTTTGGTCCTAATATCTGTAGAAAATATTGAATAAAAAGTGGTGATAGTGGGGTGCCTGGGTGGCTCAGTTGTTAAGCATCTGCCTTTGGCTCAGGTCATGATCCCAGGGTCCTGGGATCGAGCTCTGCATCGAGCCCCGCATCGAGCCCTGCATCCGACTCCCTGCTCGGTGGGAAGCCTGCTTCTCCCTCTCCCACTCCCCCTGCTTGTGTTCCCTCTCTCGCTGTCTCTCTCTGTCAAATAAATAAATAAATAAATAAATAAAATCTTTTAAAAAACGTGGTGGTAGTCTGTAACATTGTCTTATCTTTGATCCTAAAGAGAATGTTTTCAACATTCTAGGATAAACTATATTTACTATTTTTTTGTATATACTCCTAACGAGATTAAGGAACTTCTCTTTTATTCATAGTTTACCAAGAAGTTTAATTTAATCTTCAGTTTTTATCATTGTGAGAGGTGATACACTTACTATATTTCCAAAAAATTACTATATTTCTAAAATCTCCATTCTTGGGGCACCTGGGTGACTCAGTCTCTTAAACGTCTGCCTCTGCTCAGGTTCTGGGATGGAGCCCTGCACTGAGCAGACTCCCTGCTCAGTGGGGAGTCTGCTTCTCCCTATCCCCACACCCCCTTGTGCTCTCTTTTGCTATCTCTCCCTCAAATAAATAAAATCTTAAAAAAAATACTTCATTCTTTCCTCTTTTGCCTCCATCACCCTTTTTGTTGATAAAATAGGTTTATATTTACACTTACTTATTATACAATTACACCTTTTCCTATTTTCTAATTTAATATCTCTAATTGATATTTGTTATTTGTATCTATAAAAAGTGAGGAATTGAGTGTATTACATTATTTCTCACCATTCATTTGTCTTTTCCTCCCAAGTTGTGTTAGCTATTTCACAGTAATATTGTCCATGTTAATAGTGTTTAGATTCTGTTTTTCAACCATAATCCCTATATTGGTTTTAGTTTTCTTCTTCTTCTTCTTCTTTTTTTTTTAAGATTTACTTATTTATTTTAGAGAGAGAGGGAGAGTGCGCGCACACTAGAGAGCGCCCATGTGAGCTGGGGGGCTGGCAGAGGGAAAGAATCGCAAGCAGATTCACCGCTGGGCAGGCAACCAGGGCTCGATCTCATGACCCTGAGATCATGACAAGAGAGGAAACTAAGTGTCGGACACTTAACCGACTGAGCCACCCAGGCACTCCTTTAGTTTTATTTTTGTAGTTAGAGTTAGGGTTTATAGCCAGTCTGTCCTTTGTAATTTTGTCATCTTCTGTTGGGCTAAAGTGTGTCCTCTAATAATTTCTTCAAGAAGTACTCATGACAGCTCTAGTCCCTGAAAAATTGTTTTTTCCTGAAAAATAGTTTGTTGAGTATAAATTCTTGGGTCATATGTTATTTCTTTAGTAACTTTTTGGGCTTTTGAGCTATTATACCATTTTCTAGGATCTCAGGCCAAAATATTTTTTTCCTTTAATAGATAAACTGAAGGTTTTGCCCTGATGTCCAAATAATTCTTTTTATCTTTGAAGTCCAGTAACATTACCAAGATAGGGTGGATGGTTTTGTGTCACTATTTTTGTGTGTGTGTGTGTGTAAAATGGCATGTGCTTTCACATGCAGGTTCAAATCTAGCTTTTATTTTAAAAAAGTGTTCTTGAATATATACCTTTAAGTATTTTTCCTTTTCTGTTATTTCAGTTAAAAAAAATTTTTTTAATGTGGGCAGGAGAGAACTATGTTAGATCTCCTTTTTCTGTCTTCTATATTTATTATTTTATTTGTAATTATTTTTTATTCTTCATTTCCATTTCATTTGTTTCTATTTCTCAGTCCTGTCCTCTATTACCTTGTTGGTTGTTTTAGTAGTGTCTTTTATCTTTGGGGCTGCTCTCAGTGTGAACCTCATTTTTGTAATGATTTTGCTTTGCTCATCTTTCTTGAATGCTGCTATTCCTTTTGTTGCCTCCCCATGCTTCATCTCAGTTCTCATCTCTCTGCTTGAGCTCCCGCTCGATGGTGACAATTGCTTCTCAATAAATTTATGAATTCATGCTGATATATTTGCTCATAATACCATTTGTCTCAGGGCAACATTTTCATAATTCTGTGTTTCAGGAATTCTCCTTATGCTATAGAATTCTATGTATGAATTGCTTTGGTCTTGATTTCTCTTCTTCATAGATATCGGCAGCTGCACAGCTCCTCCTGATGTGGTATCTTTTCTCCATCCTGTCTCAGTGCCCCACTACTGCCTACATTTATAGCCTGTCGGTATGGTTCTTTCCTTATTCCTGCTCCCTCTAATTTTCCTTTGTGCCAACTCCAGTCTATGTAAGTTCCTGCCACTCTCCCAAACATACTTCTCCTTGTTATTCCATGTAAGAGGTGGTTGACTTTGCCTCTCAGATGGTAGCACTTACCTTAGGAATTATGCTTTCCCCTTTGGTTTGAGTTCTGTAGCCATGGGCACTCTATCTTAGCATCTTTCAGTGCCCATCTTGACCTTCTATGCATCCAACTGCTCTTTCTTTAATACTATAGTGTGCGATTGTATACACCTTTTAGTTTTACTGAAGATAAAATTTACACTTCTGTCTCTCATATTCCTTATTGCATTTAGATGATATTTAAGGGAAGAAAGTAAAAATACTACCTTGACTTAGCCATTTAAAAACTTTCTTATGGGCTTCTTACTTTGTTGTTGGAATGGTCTTCCTGGGCCTATCTTTTGCTCTGTTCTACCTTCCAGGTTTGTTCTGGTTCAGGAAAAATTGCATTCCCAGGCTCTTGCTACCTCAGTTGCCATCACTGATGGCTGGATGGGGCTATGAAGAATGCCTTTGGGAATTAATCAGTGATGATGGATTAAAACCTTGCCATTTAAAAGAAAAAAAATGTGTCAGTACTTTTAGTCACTCTTGAGAAACCTAATTAGATATTGAAATAGTCTTATGGGATCTGAAAGCTCTGTATTTTTATATCTAGCAGTAGAAGAGCATGCACCTTTCTCCTTGAGAAATGTCCAAACAGTATTCAATGTCTAGTTCTCTTCATCCAGAGGCTCACACTCCAGTGATTTCCTGCACTCAAGTTATCACATCCTACCTGCAAAACTCATAATGGAATCTAGTAATTTTCTTATGTGAGTGCATAGCAATGGCTCCTTATACTAGGACTAATGCAGTCAAGACCATATTTTTATTACTCTTGTATGTGACCACAGTCTAAATTAAAAAAGAAGAAGGAGAAGAAGAAGGAGGAGGAGAAGGAGAAGGAGAAGAAGAAGAAGAAGAAGAAGAAGAAGAAGAAGAAGAAGAAGAAAGAAGAAGAAGGAAAAAGGAGAAGGAAGAAGGAGAGGAAGGAGAGGAAGAAGAAGAAGGAGAAGGAGAGGGAGAGGGAGAGGAAGAGGAAGAAGAAGAAGGAGGAGGAGGAGGAGGAGTTGCAGAGCTGAAGCTGTCAGCTCAGTACTGTGGGAAGAAACTGGCTGGCACTGGCCAGGCTGATAAGGGACTAGTCCATGCTTCTTTCTGTGCGTTGGTTGTCTATGTGTCTTAGAGGAAGACGGGGAAGGAAAGTGCAGGGGATACTCTTCTCATGCTGATGAATGGTGTAATGCAGTGCTGATAAGCACAGGCTCTGGGGTCACATTGCCTGGATTAAAGCCCTGGCATTGCTACCTACTCAAAGTGTGCTTTTAACAAGTTGTAATTTTTCTGTGCCTAGCTTTTTTTCTTCTCTAAAAAGGGTATAAAGATGCCAATAATACCACCTCCTAAGGGAGGAGTAAAGCCAATAATGTAGACAAAGTGTCTGGCAGGTGTTATTGTTATGATAAAGCTTAATCTTATCTTTTTTAAAAAAACTTATTTATTTATTTGACAGGGAGAGAGAGAGAGAGAGAGAGTGAGCACAAGCAGGGGGAGCGGCAGGCAGAGGGAGGAGCAGGCTCCCGCAGAGCAGGAAGCTGACACGGGGCTCAATCCCAGGACCCTGGGATCATGACTGAGCCCAAGGCAGAAGCTCAACCAACTGAGCCACCCAGGTGCCCCTTACTCTTATCTTTTTAATGAAATACTAACAAGGAGGGTCCAGTTCTTAATACTGAGACTCAAGAGGAGGATGCATGGGGGAGAGGAACTTGCAGGTACCGTCACGCAGCTGTAAGCAGATCGGATCTCGCAGATTTGCAGTGTCTCACTCGGCTGACTTTCTCAGCCAGCCAGTGTCGGAAGGCTCAGAGGGCCACACCACCATCAACCACACAGCTGCACCTGCGTTTGCTGTAACTCTTGTCAGGTATGGAGCACTTTCGTACACAGTTTTCTCTTTGCCCTTTTCTTTTTTTTTTTTTTTTTTTTTAAAGATTTTATTTATTTATTTGAGACAGAGAGAATGAGATAGAGAGAGCATGAGAGGGAGGAGGGTCAGAGGGAGAAGCAGACTCCCTGCCGAGCAGGGAGCCCGATGCGGGACTCGATCCCGGGACTCCAGGATCATGACCTGAGCCGAAGGCAGTCGCTTAACCGACTGAGCCACCCAGGCGCCCTCTCTTTGCCCTTTTCAACAACCCTGTGGTAGGGCCTTGTCATTCCCATTTTACAAATGAGACTTACGTGACTCACCCAAGGTCGTGCTACTGGTAAGAAGTGGAAGCTGTTTTCAACCCAAGTCTTTCCCTTTTTTCTGTGCTCACTTTACTAAACCGGCTGTGGAGGTGTTTAGAAATTGACTACAATGGCCTCTAAAACATACTCTCCAACATGCTTCTCAAAGTTCAGGGTGTGTAAGGATGACCTTTTAAACTGTAGCGCTTCACTGTGCACAAGCTTTTTTGTTTGATGTAGTCCCATTTGTTTATTTTTGCTTTTGTTGCCCTTGCCTGGGGAGATGGATCCGTAAATATGTTGCTAAGACTGATGTCAAAGCTCTTACTGCCTGTATTTACTTCTTGTAGTTTTATGGTTTCCAGTCTTGCATTTAAGTTTTTAATCCATTTTGAGTTAATTTTTGTGTGTGGTGTAAAAAAGCGGTCCACTTGCCTTCTTTTGCCTGTAGCTCTCCAGTTTTCCCAACATTTATTGAAGAGTCTGTCTTCTCCCTGTTGTATATTCTTGCCTCCTTTGTCAAAGATTACTAAAACTAATATCATATCGTTTGTCAACTACACTTCAATTAAAAAAAAATAGAGATTCTTGGAAACCACCACCAGAGGGTCTGAGGTTCAGGAAGGGCCTGGGAATTCTGCCATCTTAATGGACCCAGATGTCTGTCAGCATCTTCCAGTATCCCAATCTGACCATCACTGCATTTGACTGCCCTTCCTTTAAGACGTAGTTTTGGGTTATGTATACCCTTTAGCTTCGCTAAACACAGAGTCAGGTGATTCTGTTCATAGGTAGCCTAGGAAACTACACTTGCCAAGGACCAAGAATAAGTAAAACAGACACAATCCTCCTTGAATCTTCATGGAGTTCACAAACAAGTATGAGAAATGGACAAATAAACAATCCAGTGTCACACAGTGTGATGAGACTGTTAATGCATCTGGAGAATATGGCCATTTGGATCTTGTCCCTTCTATGTTTTTGCTTGTATAGGAATCCTGTCATCTCCACTTAACTGTACTGATCAATGACCTGCTCTGCCCAGTCCTTAGAGCTGTGTTTTGAATATTGATGGTGGTAAGCTAAGCAAATTACAGGACAGAGAGCAGCAAATACACCAGGCCCATTAAGCATGAGTAAAATGACCACTTTTAAAAGTGGTTTATGGGTCTCACAGGGAAAAAACACACATGGATAAAAGGAAACCAAAACCAACAGCTTAGTACCTTAGAAGTCCATCAAGAAAACTTACCTGAAGCAAGGACTATGGCCTCTATCAGAGAGAGAGACTAAATGTCAGTGTCTGTTTCTATCATTTTCTTCTCTTAGCAGTTTTGACCTTCTTTTCATAAAATAGTAGTTAATAATTATGTGTGTTCTTTGGAAAGTGAGATAATTCTTTCCTTGCTCCATATGATCATTTTTATTTGGATACCTCTGACATACATAAAATACTAGAGATAGTTGGAACAAGTTTGTGTGAATTGATTAGCAACACACAGTTATTAATGGATAGACTCATTAGGGAATTTAAGATATAGTCCCAGAATAAACGGTGTCCAAAGCTGGCAATAAGCCCTGTTTGAATATTCACATTACCACCCAAAGAGCTGGAGGTAGAGAGTGCTTGATTCACTGGCATTAGAGGTGGCTTCTAGAGTTAGAGTGAATAGAGTAGTTTTATGAAAATCAATAGAGTGATTACAATTACCAAGTGCATTACTTCAAAGATATTAAGAGCCACAAATCAAACATGTCAGCTGAAGAATAATGATGATGTTACGTACAAACAAGAAAGCATGGTATCAGCTGAGGAAGTGGCCAGAATCGTATCCTAGGGTTTCTGAGGAAAAGAAGTAGTTGCTGTTTGTTTGTTTGTTTGTTTGCATCACTCTTAAGGCAGTTTATTACAGTCTTACAAAACAAAATACACAATTTTGTAATCACTGACAGGCAGTTGGAAGGGAGAAGAAATCCAATCATGCTGAAAGATGTGGCTGGAATTGTCTCTACTCAACCAACAGAGATTGGCTTGGCTGGGAGTGCATTTGTCAATGCCTTGTACTCCCACGCAGCACGATAGAGCTGAGCATGTTCCAGAACTGCTAAGTAGCAAGGTGCCTGACATGCTAATTGATTTGAAACTTGGAATGTCAGGGTTGGAGGGTCTGCAGGAAACATTTAGTGTGACCACTGCCATGATGCTTTCAACTCTTCTACACCCCCAATTCCTGCATGTTCTGGCCCATGAATCCCTAGAATGGCATTCTAAGCATGGAAATTAGCAAGTGTCAAGACTCAGAGACAAGAAAGAAAAATAAATACCTGTACAGGACTTCAAGTATTTAAGTGTTAATGGTGGGGAGTGCTGAGAGATGAAAGAAGAGGCTTGAAAGGAATAAAACATAGTCATGCCAAGGGGTTTGGATTTTACTCTGAGCATAATGAAAAAGCCTCTAGGGGAGCAGATATGGAAAACTCCCAGACCTCTGTGCTAGCACAGCAGAGATTATAAGACCCCAAACACAGACATTGGGTCTGGGTGAGATGTCTTCCTGCAGAGCTTCCTCAGACAGCTCTATATGGTAATGTAAGTTGTCTTGGGTGCTGACCTCCTTGGGCAAATGAAAAGCAGTGAGCCCACAGTTCTTTGGTTCTCGAGCCCTGTGGTCTTCCCCCTCTACATAAGCTGCTGAAACCACAATACTCTGGTGTGCCTCCATGAGGTAAAAGGAAGGAAATAGGAACTGTGTTTGCCCATATCCAGTGGACATTATCTGTATCTTTTGCACTGCTTGTGGGAATAAATCAAAGTAAAAATAACTTTGAACTCAATCTAAGTTTTCATTCTTGCCCATTTACAACTCTGGACTTGACTGTATAGTGTGGCCTAATCCAGAAGGGAAGTGACAAATCTGATTTCCTGGATTGGAGACTGTAAATTTGTAGTGGTATCTATCCGTGAGAGTGTGTGATATTGTTCAGCAGACATCAATGGTCCAGGTGGGGATGGCAAGAAGGTTGATGCTTTTCTGGACAGCAGAGAAAGACCAGGGAGGCAAAGGACTTGAGAATATTGATGAGCATAGTAGGCTGAAAAAAAAATAGCTCCCTAAAAATATATTCACTTTCTAATCCCTGAAATCTGTAAATATTACGTTATATGGCAAAAGATCTGGTGAAGTGTCTTGAAATGAGATGCTTATCTTAGATTATCCAGGTGGGCCCTGGTGTCATCACCTGTATCCTTAAAAGAGAGGGGCAGAGGAAACTCTGATAGACACACAGAAGAGAGGATGGTGTGAAGATGGAGGCAGAGACTGGAGTTATGTGGCTACAAGTCAAGGAAGGCCTGGGGCACCAGAAACAAGGAGAGAGGTACTGAGCAGATGCTCTCCCAGAGTCTCTGGAGGGAATGTGGCCCTGCTGACACTGTGATTTCAGATTTCTTTCTTTTTTCTTTTTTTGATTTTATTTATTTATTTGTCAGAGACAGAGAGAGAGAGAGAGCACAAGCAGGGGAAGCAGGAGGCAGAAGGAGAAGCAGGCTCCCCGCTGAGCAGGGAGCCTGATGTGGGACTCGATCCCAGGACACTTGGATCACGACCTGAGCCGAAGGCAGATGCTTAACTGACTAAGCCCCCCAGGCGTCCCCGATTTCAGATTTCTGTCACCAAAACTGTGAGATAATAAATTTCTCTTCCTCTAATCAAGTTTGTGGTATTTGTTATAGCAACCACAGGAAATGAATACAGTGAGAGAGTGGCTGATGCGGGGTCATGGAGCCTCAGTTAGATACAGAAGATGGCAGAGGTAAGGAGAGCCTGCTAGAATGGGAGAAAATGGAGGTCTTTATGAGGTCCTGGGAATAAGGGAGCAAGAGAGAAATCTGGATGGAGATGTGTGTAGTCAGGAAGAATTTAAATTTCAGAGATGGAGTTGAGGAGATGAAGGAAGTGAGAGACTAGGGTTGTGGCTGGGTTATCCACATGAACATTGCAGTCTCCCAGGGTAATGACAGGACTTGCACAAAGAGGAAGACTGTGAATCAGATACCAGAGTTCTCAAGGGATCAAGAGGAAGTGAAGGGAGGTAACAGGTGGAGGGTGGGAAGATGCAGAGGGCTCAGGGTGGTAGAGTCAGAAGGCAGGTGTCTCAAAGGAACCTATTTGGAATTTTATTCAAGAGATAGATGAATCATGGTCTTGGAGAGACACTGGAACAAAGAAAATGCCCACCCTGTTTTTTGAATCCAAAGTACATGGGATGTTGGAAAGTGTGCAGCTTGCACTCAAGAGATCTCCCAGAGCAGGGGGACTGTGTTTTCTGGAGAAATCCTGGCACCCATGAGGTCCAGGACATAAAGAGAACATTCATGAAGTGATTGAGGATGGATGGGCATTTGTTAACATGTAATGTGATATGCAAAAAATAGCAGCACTTGGAAACTATGACCGAGTCAGGATAAGCCTGATGATGTGGTAATAAAGTCAGAACATTTCTGACATGTGCTCAGGGGATACAAGCACTTCAGTAAGCTCTGTATCATCCAGCTCTAGGCCTCCTGGAGAAGGATGAATGAGCTCCCTCAGTAATTTTAGTAATGGGCTAATTTTAACTAGTTTTTGAATATCAAATTTTAGTAATCTTCAATAACTTATTTAGCAAGGTACTCTAAGTAACATTTTTGAGAATATAAAAAGGAAGATCTATGAAATTGTTTGTCATTTGTCTTCTGAGCATCAAAGCCAGGACCTGCAATTTGGGAACACTTTGAAGACTCTCGGGAGGTCTCTTGGAATTCACAGTAATTCTCGAGACTGAATCGCCTTGAATTAATTTGCATTCTTTTGCTTTGTCACTTAACCAGTTACAAGTCACAAAATTGTATTTGTGCCTATTCTTCACTTCTCTGTCTTGTCCACAAATATGTCATGAGAGACTTTGTTAAAGCTTCCTCAGGCACCATCAGCTTGAGCTAATGTATTAATGTATAAATAATATCTAATATTATGCCCTTTACATGGATAATTGTCATTTAATCCTCTGGATATCCCTATTAGGCAGGTATTTTAGTATCACAATCTTATGGATGGAGAGACTGTGAAGCTTGGGGGAGCTAAGTAACTTACACAAGGTCAGCCTGCGAGTGCAAGAGCAGGGATTTAATCCTAGCCAGGACTTCAGAAACCTTGTCTTTGCTCATTCTGCTGAAGAGCTTTACACTTCCTGGGTAATGAGAATGTGTGTCTTCAGATAAAAAAGTGCTCTGTTCTTCCCTTAAGCCCAAAGACATTCCACTGGAGACCCAGGTGCCATAGCGTTGACTGCTGCCTGCAGCCTGGCCCAGCCGCTGCCTGGCTTCTTGGGTTGGGCAGCTCCTGCATTCTCTAACAGTGCCTCTCCTCTCCTTCAATGTGGTTGGTATCCTGAGCCCTGGGTGCTCCAAGCCCAGGCACCAGGACTGACACCTCCATTTGGGAAAACTCCTACTAGGTCTCCTACCAGTTCAGAGAGTGGGGGTTTCATCCTGCTGCCATCTTGGTTCTGGGGCTGGGAAAAATCACATAGTCTCTTCCTCTCCAGAGGGAGCTGTTCCTATGCTCCTTTTCCCTAGGGCTGAGGCTTCTCCCATCTAGTGTTCTACTTACTCTGCTTCTACCAGTGTCCCCCTCCCTGTTCCTATCTTTCTCTTTGTTTCCCTATTTACTACCTTCCCTCCAATCTAGATTCAGCCCTCCCTTCTCGGGGACTCTTGTTACACAGAGACAACATTTGCACTATATATTCTTTCCTTACCAGTCTAGTAACGCAATTTGCACAGGAAATGTGGTCAGCTAGTCAATAATTGTTCTTACTCTGAATCCATACTGGTTCCTCGTGATCCCAGCTTCCTTTCCTAAGCCTTCCTGAATCATCTTTTTGAGAATTAATCCTAGAATCCTGGAGTTAATCTGCAGTTTATAGGATTAATATCTACAGTTTAGAGAATTTCTAGTTTTGACAAATATTAGAACAATGCTTGCCTATCGTTAGAGCTCCAGCCCAGGCAGTGGATCAGGGATCTTGTCTGAAAGTTCCTTCCATGTTCTGGGATGTAATTCATCAAGTCCTGACACTTAAACCCATTGAGAGCAGACAGAAGCTATCTGAAAATCTCTTCATTTACCTTAAGCTTCCAATCTCTCTTACAACATTTGTTCTAACCTTGTTGGGTCTGAAGATCATTCTCATTGACAGAGAATCCTAAAGTAGACTGAGTATTGAGGGCTGGCATTTGGTCATCTGGCAGCACTACATCATGCATCCCAAATAGATAATTTGTATTTAACCCCTGGAAGCTGTCTAAATTAACCCTTTTAGTTTACAGTTGAGGTAACTGATAAGAACCAGAACCAAAATCCAGGTTTCCTGACTCCCAATCTACACACTTTTTTTTTTTTTAAATTAGGTTTTGCTAAGAAGTTCTCAAACTGTCTAAACAGATCAAACAGATTAGATACATTTAAGACTCTAGACCTTTAAAGCATATTCCAGTTCTTTCTCATTTTAAGAACAGGGTCCCTGCTCAGAGGGGAGCCTGTTTCTCCCTCTCCCTCTGCTGCCTCCTGCTTGTGCTCTCTCGCTCTCTCTCAGTCAAATAAATAAATAAAATCTTAAGAAAAAAGAACTTTATTTACCAAATCTATCTCATACTATGTAGAAAAACAAATGCAACACTCAAAGATTGAGGAAAATAGTAAAGATGATGGGTTGGCATAGATTTTGGCCTAACTGGAGTCTTAGCTCTGTCAGGAGACAACGATCCCATTCTTTGGACTTAAAAAGTAAATTGTTAGGATAGCCCTTGAAAATCCATTCTTTCAAACTCAGCTTGAAATAAAAACATAGCTAAACGCAGATATAATAATTTGTTATTTTATCCTAAAATCACATACCTTAAAAACTATGGTCTTCCATAAAACACTCCTAGCAAATGGGAGTGGTAAGGACTTTCTCAGTGGACATGCCCTGGGATTGCTGTAAAACATGGACAAGTAACAAATGATAGGGGTACTGATTTCCCAACACAGACATTTTCTTGTTTTCTTTCATAAGAGGAACATTTGGGTTCATCTGAGGCTAATCCTTGTAGAGGACCTAGAGACATGTTCAGGAAAGTCAAAAATCCTATTGGATAATGTACATATAAAGCTATGACTGCAGAGCCAGAAGAGAAAGGCTCTCCTCACCACCCATGGGCTCAAATCTACCTTTTTCTTTGAAATCTATGGGTGAACATTCCATTATAATTAAATTTTCCTCTTTAATATTTACTGACTCTTCAAATAATGGAAGAGAGTAATAGACTAGATTAAGACATAAGCTGTGATTGCTGTGGTAGGTAGAATATCTGTGAGGGATGTTCTCTATTGCTGAGATGGAGGAGACCATGTAGAAAGGACCTGAGAGTAACCTGTAGGAGCTGAGACTATTCCTTGGTGGACAGCCAACAAGACACCAGGATCCTCAGTCCTACAACCACAGGGAAATGAATTCTGCCAACCTGAGGGAGCTTGGAAGAAACCATTCCCTAGTCGAGATTCTAGATGAGCTCATTTCTAGCTGACATCTTGATTTCAGCCTTACAAGACCCTGAGCAGAGGACCCAACTAAAATATGCCAGACTGCTGACCCCTGGAAAAGGTGAAAAACCTGTGTTGTTGTAAGCTGCTAAGTTCGTAATTTGTTACACAGCAATAGAAAATAAATTCAAGTGTGTTCTAGAATTTTCCCTACAATTAATTAGATTTTACTTAGGTTCATTTAATATTACTCTGTGCCCACTAGATGGATAAGGCAGCCTTAAAACATAGCTGTTACAGTGGAAAGCCAACTTGGGATTTAAAGTTAGTGTGAAAAACCTAAAAGAGCTTTACTGTTCCTATTGGACAAGCACAGTGATTATGTGCATGGACATTGGGCTGAATCCACCACTCCACTACTTATGGGGAGATTGGTTAAGTTACTTAAGCTTTTTTCTAAATTGAAAGACAAATATTTACCTTGTATACTTGATGTGCAGTTTTAGTGAAATGCTGTGTTTTAGCACGGTGCCCAGCACAGAGCCAGTATCTGCAAAACTGCCACTATTATTATTATTCTAATCAAAAAAGGAAAGGCTGAGAGGATGATAAAGGGCCATGACAGCGAGAAGGAGAAAAAAAGCAAAGCGTGTACAGGCAAAAATGCATCTATCTGTAAGCTTTTGCTGTGGGTCACTAGCTATCACAGGTACTCAGCAGCCAGATTTTATTCATGGGAAAACCTTCAGAGAGCCTGGAGATAGAGCGAGTGCCATTTTTTTTTTTTTTTTTTCTGCAGTGAAATAGATTGCATCCCTAGGTTACGTGTCAGTCACCCAAGGCCTATTCAGATTCTGTTCCTGTTTTGAATTTAATGCTCTGCCTATCTCACTGAACCCAAGGCCACTCGAAAGTGAAGCTGAAACTACAGATGATCAAAAAGTGGAATACACAGATAAAAAGGGAAATAAGTCACAAGATGTGTCTTTCAAACCCGACTCCTTTGGTGGTCTCTGTTTGCCAGGGCTGAGGAGAAAGAATGGCTCCATTTTGCAAGGCTTTGGACATCATCACTAACAGTGAAAGCACGTCTATTTATAAGGGACTTGAGAAATGCAAAAAGAGAGAGACGAAAGAAAAACTTGTTACGTATAAATTTTTTTTCTAAATTTAATGAGCTCAATGCACTGTACCTTTCCATATATTGGAAAGGAAACATTGGGAAGTTAAACCCGTTAATATTTTATGTACATATATTTTTAGATATAATGTGGTTATAAAATGGAAGACATTTGAATGAGATTTAGTGAACTTAGTATTAGATTCCCAAATAGAATGTGCAGGGTTTTTTTTTTTTTTTAAATTTCTGAAAACTCTCTATGATGTCAAATAATTCTTTTCTGGCCTTCAAACACCTTCATTTTGTTTCAACCATATCTATACTATGGGTGTTATCTATAGGGATATTAAATGTTTATTTTCTCTAATAACAACAAACATAGGAAATAAAAATATAACTTTAAAATTTTCATCTAACACAAAATATTATTTAGTGTGTGTCTTTATATAATAAAAAAATTAAGAATTGAGTAACCCTCAAGGACTAGTTCTTATCTTATTCTTTTTGTATCTTCACCACAGCCTTGTCTAGGTCCAGACACCTGCTAGCCGGCAGTAAGTACCCAAAGAAGGAATGAAATGTTTCAGACTCTCGTCCCCAAGAAGCAGGCTGGCCTGGTGGAAAAAAGAACCGGATTGAGATCCAAAGCCTAGCTGCCACCATAGCATGGCCTTGGCAAAGTCACTTCCCCTCTGGGCTGTGGTTTCCTTATGTGAAAAATAAGATGGTTGATCTGTTCCCTTTCAGCTCCGACATACGAGAACTTAATGAAGCAAAGAAAATTCCCTGAAGTAGGACAACAGTGTCTTGTATGAATATGCAAGAGAATAAACAACCATACAAGAAGGCAGAGTTTTGGAGTATGTGTGTGTGTAAAAGGGTGCTTTTAGGCTGACTCTCAATCTTTTGACAAAATCTGCTTCAGAGGGATGCCTGGGTGGCTCAGTTGTTAAGCATCTGCCTTCGGCTCAGGTCATGATCCCAGGGTTCTGGGATCGAGCCCCGCCTTGGACTCCCTCCTCCGCGGGAAGCCTGCTTCTCCCTCTCTCACTCCCCCTGCTTGTGTTCCCTCTCTCGCTGTGTCTCTCTCTGTCAAATAAATAAATAA